AAGAACAGGAAACATAACCTTCTTGGTGCAGGTAAATAATATTGAAACATATACCCTATATGACTCTGTATGCAACATGTAGTGTTTAGAACTGTAGGCTATGGAGAGCATTGGTTTCATAGTAGAGTGTATGTGACTGTGTGTGTCACTATAGATGTGTCCTTGCATGTCTGACTCCTCTGAAAGTCTTTTCCAAAGACCTGTCAGTCAACACTCTCCTTTTCCTGAGCTGCCCTGAAGGACTGTGCAAGATTCCCCCCCCAACACACACAAACACACACACAGAAACGCACCAACCCCCAAAACAAACCTCTGTCTGGCCATCACACACACACACACACACACACACACACACACACACACACACACACACACACACACACACACACACACACACACACACACACACACACACCACACACACACACACACACACACACAGACACACACACACACCACACACACACACACACACACACACACACTCACAATTAGCCCATAGCTCATTATGTCTGCCTTAGCTCCTTTGGATTGTGTTGTGGGGGTGGGGGTTGGTGCAGGGTGGGGGTTGGTGACCCTGGAGAGCATGACCTAAGGGGACATTCAGAGAGTTACTGTGGGGAGTGGCAGCGAGGACAGGAAGATGGGAGGGGGACATGCAGGGAAGTTACTCACTCCTTGGTACCCCTGCTGGCTGGGCTCACCCCTGTGAAGAGTCCCATTGATTTTCTAAGTGAAAACCCCACTGATTAGTCATCACTACTGACTTGCATGAGCTCAGAACAACTGCTTTTGTATTGATAATGTGATGGGACACAGCTAAAAACAAAGCTCATCGTAAAGGCAACCGAACAACAACTCATTATAATGTAAACAACTCAATCTTGTGTTTTGCACCCTACAATTAATAACAATCGGTAAACAAATATTGTTTCCATCTGGAGGAAGTTGTTAGTTTTATTAATCGTTAACTTTAATATAAATGCACTGAATTGGAGGAGAAGATGGTGTTCCCTCTTCGTCCCCTCAATTGCTGAGGCTCAAGAGTTTAGATGTCCCTCCAAAAACTATTTTGTAAAACTTCTCCCCCGCCACTTATACAAGCTACTCAGCAGCCGCCTCCATCCCCAGCCGCCACACATCAATCCATGGAGTGTGTGGGTGTGTGTTTTGAGATGCAGTGTGCTGTCAACCCCCCAGGGTGTAAAAGATTTTTGGACTAACATTGCAAGTTTTAAAAACAAACTCTTTGGTTTCAGTTTACTTAAGCCTCCGTTTTGAGGTCTCAAGCCAACTGATGCTACAAAAAATACACGAAGGTTATTTGCAAATGTGTGATTAAACGTAAATGTACGTAAGTCTAAAGCACAACGTGGCTTAATGCACATCTGCAATTTGTATTATTGCAGGGTACAACATCTCCTAAAATCGTTTCATTCTTTGCATGATTTTTGGCATCTTCAAATCCTAGTTCCCTCTTTGCAGCAACTCTCCTTAACAACCCACATTTTGTTAGCTCCCTGTTTGTGTGCACATTCTGAATTAGATGAGTTATTCCACCCCCTCCCTTTGTCAGGAAGCTTAATCAGGGCTACAGAGGTGTGTGGGTGACCTTTGACCCCTGGGTATCTCTGGGCTTTCTCTTACTTGCCTTTGGGCTAGCATCAGGATATCCCTCATTTAACTCCTAACCTAAGGTGTTAGCTTTAGCGACCAGTGGTTTTGAGTTAAAGCATGCACACATAATGTCAGTTGTTCATTATAAATGATTACCAAACACTTTTAACCAATGACGGACTAAAGTGATTACAAGTTACACATTAAATACACACAGGTTGCCTTTCTGTGCACTTTTTGGAGTATATTAGAGACAATTGTGAGATATTAAGGAGTAAACTTGTGTAATGCACATTGAAATATGGAGATCTAAAGCAATTCATATTGAAAAACGTGTGAGAAAAATAGTTAGTTCGTTTTTTTAAGTTTTAATTTACAGATTAAAGTAAATGTACCCTGTTGGACTGACATTTCAAGTAAACTTTGATTTGTAAATGAAAAATATTCCACCAAAAAACACATCCTTAAATCTTCGTTCACTCCCATCAATGTTCCTTTTCAAAATGTAATAACTTTTTACTTTGAATACATATAAGTAGGGAGGCTGTGGCTCAGTGGATAGTGTGATGGACTTTGAATCAGGGGATAGCAAGTTTGAGTCCCACTGCAGTCAGCATGTCGTTGTGTCCCTGGGCAAGACACTTCACCCCAAATTGCTCCTGTGGGGATTGTCCACAGTACTCAATGTATGTAAGTCGCTTTGGATAAAAGCATCTAACAAATGACATGTAATGTAATAAGTGTGCCCACTGTATGAGTACAAAGCAACTTCGATTAAAGTTTGAGTTTGTGTCTGTGTTTTGGCACAAGAGTTAATTAAAGGGATGACTAAGTGAATGTAAAGATGGACGTTGTGATTGACAGGTGGGCATGTGTCCTTTCTTTGAGGTCGCATTGTGACGGACGGATAATTACAGAGTTTCTTGGCAGGCGTTTTGTTTGTATTTTATATTACTAACTGAAAAAAAAAGCGACATAAAAGATGTATTCTGACAGTATGACAATATAAGCACACTTCTGAATACGATAATCAAAATGCAACGGCGACCTTCCCTTCATTAAGCTGGTTTATCAAATGAGGCGTAAATAGAAACAATAATTTCCTACATTTCCATTTTCTTTCAGTTGAGACTGTGAAACTATTCTTTTACTTTTGTGTACAGGTTGCATTCAGACCCACTTGAACAAGTCTATGAGCCTTTCCCCTTCCCAAAATGAGCAAACCCACCAAACAAAGGGCCACCATTGTGGATAAACACAGCTTTTGTTTTACCCATTTGAACCTGAGGTTTCCCTTAACGCCACGGAGAGTGTGTTCACCCTTTTTCTCTTTTCAGACGCGTTGGCGCTGAATGGCGGAGACCACTGCCAAATGGGAAAACGACTACACAGGCAGAAAGAAAGACCAGAATCAATCAGGAAGTGGCTGCTTTTCAGCTGTGCCAGAGGAGCCGGGCAACTTCCTGGTGTTGTTGCCAAGGTGACTGGAGGCTACGCCAGCTGGTGCAGTGGGCATCAGTTTTGAGGGGGGCAGAGGATGGCGGTTGGGATGTTGGACAGGAGGCGTGTGAAGAGAGCTCGTGAGTTTAAATGTAAGCAATGAGCACTTCAAGCTGCATTTACATGCCCCATCACAATGTGGAGTTCCTGTTTTGTTTGAAATCTTTGCAAACAATTACCTAGTCTCGCCAATAACTCCCAGCTTCTGCTATGGCGTGTGTATGGCACATTATTTTGTTGGATAATTTAGTAAAACTGTATATCTTTGTGTAACTTTTTCATATAATGAACAAATGCACTGATGGAAGTCAAACTTTCAAATATTTTTTTTCCTTCTTCCTTCCTTTTATAAGAGGAATGAATACAGTAATAACCACATGAACTCAGAGCAAGAGAAGACGGGTACTGTAAAGACATTTACTAAGCACATTTTAACATTACTTGTATACACGTATTGGGAGCACACAGAGCAGTAATTTAAATAAAATGAAGTGAGAAAGGTTATTATTATGCTCTTTGATGATTATTGTGAGTAAAGCAAAGATACCAGCACATGTATTGCTCAAATGAGTCTTGCATGATTTTATCTGCTAAAAATTACTTTAGTAGAATTGTCACTCAGAATTAAGACATATCACACTTTAGTTTCTAGTTCATAAGGTACACCTTGCCATACTAAAAATAAATACTAACTTATGAGGGTGTTGAGTTGTTTCTATAATTTTATTTGACCCAGACATTTGTTTGTAATTGCTGAATTTACCCACAGATTTCTCTTATCTTATCTTATCATAATTAGATAAAGGCAACACAATTTGAGTATAAAGGGGAAAGTGATTGTATGTCATTTATTGAGCGCTGAGTCATTATTTGTGTCACTGATAGTGATAACAGTTTCACATCTCTGAATCTAATCTTGCCGCAGTCAGTCTCTGGTCTAAAGCCCCACTTTAACAGATATTGGGGCTGGGGTAGCTAGGTGTTCTGGGGGATCAGGGGACCGACTGGTGGAGATGGGTAAACACAGCTGGGGACACACTGCGCTGGTGGGTCTGCGGCTCAATGGCCCCCTTCACACATGTATCAGTGTGTTTGCTCAGGGGATGTGCCTTAATCTTCACACACTGATCTCTACGCGGAGCCTTCCAGAGACCCAACCGGCCCGGATGAAAGTGGCCCCGTCCACAGCCACAGCCCTGCTAATTCCTCCATGGCTAAACTTGAATGTTCTTCACTTTATAAAGGTTCATAAAGGTCATATATGGATCTGTGTGTGGGTGAATTTCTCTGTGGGTGGGATCTCCCTGATAATATATACAGAATGATTGATCATAATCTGCCCCATACAAATGAATAGACCATTGTTAGGAAGTGTCAGAGTTTAGGCAGAAATAAAATCATATCTGAGAGATAGAATATTCAATATGTTTGCAAATTATCTGTACTTATACTGAGAATCACAACTTTAGTCAGAGTTAGCTGCTCTAAGTTGACTACACGTTGAGTGTATGTATGTGCGTCTATGTATGTATCTATCTATTTTTCTAACTAACTATCTAACTAACTATCTGTCTATCTATCTATTTATCTATCTATCTGTCTATTTATCTATCTGTCTATCTATCTATCTATCTATCTCTGTTTAGATGAAACTCTGATTATAGACCGCCATCTGTCGGTGATTACTGTGTGTTGCGTTGCTTTCTGTTAAAGCCGTATTCTCTCTTTTTCTAGTTTATCACATCGTTAAATACAAATATTGTCATACAAAGCACTATCTCCGCATTTAAGGCTCAATCAAGGACATTTAATGAATCGTATTATGACTCAGTGTCTTATGAACATGAATATTCTGGTAGGCAGTGGTTTGCTTTGAGAGAAAAACAACCCTTTCGGCTTCCGTCGACTTCGCGTAAGCGCTTGACGTCAGCATAACAACAACCTGTCATGACAGCTCGTATGGGAAAAAATATATCGATAAACCTATCAAATCATATAAAATCGGTTTTACCTGGATGTGAGATTGCTTCTACAAGGTAAGGAGTGTTAACCGCGATTCACAGAGACAACCTCTTACTCTGAAGTAGCATAGATAGATTGGAAAAAGTCTGTGTAGCAAACAAGCTAACCTAGCATTAGGTTAGCATATTTCTCCTTTCTCAGGTTGCTTTGGGGCTATGATGTGAACGTAAGATAAATGCTAATATGCCTTTTTTAGGCCCGTCATACATATATTCCAATCAGCTTGTGATTAATTGTGTCACTGAAGGTAATACAGCTGCGTAGGAAGAACGGTCCTCTCACTCGAAAAACGATTGTCGTATAATCGACAACATACCTCACTATGCTAACAAAGCTAACCAGCTAATATCTAGCTAAGCACCGAACTCCTGTTTGCTGTTAATTAAACTTAACGACATTGTCACTCTGTTTATAACACATGCATCTCTGTTAGTGGGCCAAACGTTAACCCTATGTATTTGTTTACAACATCTTACATTGTGTAGCAGTGGTGTAACGTTACAGTACAGCAGCCTTGCATTAAAGGCAGTGAGTCTTTAATATTTAGCTAGCTCTGCTTCTCATGTAGTCACCGCGGACGTCCTTCACATGAATAGTTAATTCGCTGGCAGTCCAGCCACCTCGCTGTCATGTTTGTGTGCACAGTCAGCAAATTAAACAAATGCCTTTTTCTGGGTGGCATCAAAGACTGACAGCACCTAATTCTCCCCAAGACGCGCATTGCAGGTGCGTTGCAGTGAGTGTTACACACAACGTGAATGTTGACTTAGCTTCACGTGCATTGTGTGTCTCTCCTCTCAGTTTGTGAGACCCAGGAGATACAGGGCTTTCTTGAACCCATCAGCTAGCCAGCCGGAGACACGGGGAACAGGATAGGGAAGCAGGGCGAGGCGGGCCCCGCGGAGCCGGTGGAGAAGATGGCCGGCAGCCCGGAGAAGAGTTCAACCGCGCAGGAGCTGAAGGAGCAGGGGAACCGGCTATTCCTCTGCCGCAAGTACCAGGAGGCTGCTACGTGTTACAGCAAGGCTATTGTGAGTGTCATGCTAATGCTGGAATTATGTCTAAATAACTCAAACTTATTAAAATGATATTGCCCTTGTCTACAGTATCTAATTTTACATTATGTTCTTGTTTATGTGATTATATTTTACATGTATATAGACCTTTACTTGGTCACTTGCAACATTAAACTTATTTTATGTGTACATAGTTCACTTCTCGTGCATTACTTTTTTTGTTTCATGACCTATATATATTTTGTTGCATTGTTGGAGAAGCATGGGACTTAAGGTTGTCATTGCGATAACTGCACTTTAGCTGCTGTGCCTATGACAATAAAGCCTTTGAATCTGACATTGCTATGATGTTAAAGTGCATGTGTATTTGTCTGGTTTCTCCCAGAACCGTAATCCATCGGTGGCAGTGTACTACACCAACAGGGCTCTGTGCCATGTGAAGCTGCAGCAGCATGACAAGGCTCTGGCTGACTGTAAGCATGCGCTGGAGCTGGACAGCCAGTCAGTGAAGGCTCACTTCTTCCTAGGCCAGTGTCACCTGGAGCTGGAGAACTACGACGAGGCCATCGGCAACCTGCAGAAAGGTCAGAGAAACTACAATAAGATGGGGAAACCTTTGTTTCATCATGTTTTGCGGTAGTGTGAAGAATCAGCTTGATCATGTAATGCACAATGTTCCTCGTGTATTTCCTTGTTAAGTCAACGTGTTTCTCTCTTTTAAAACTGGTTTAGTTACTTATATCAGTTATTGTACTCTGAGGAATGTTATGGGCACAGCAAATCTTGCAGGGATGCCATACAGTATGCTTTGTCATTGTACAATAATAATAATACAGAATAAAAGATAAAACATTTTTTATTAACTCTTTGATCAAAGGAACAAGAAATGAAGGAAATACAAGTGTAAGAGAAACCTGAATGGTAAACAGATGTTAATGTTTCTACAGCTTATAACCTGGCAAAAGAACAGAGGCTGAATTTCGGAGATGATATTCCCAGCGCCTTGCGCATTGCGAAGAAGAAACGTTGGAATAGCATCGAGGAGAAGCGCATCAACCAGGAGAACGAGCTACATGCCTATCTGACCAAACTCATAATCGCTGATAAAGAAAGGTGAGACAATTATCCAGCGTGCTGTGCGTCATAGTAATCTTTTGATGACGATTGGTAATAATGATTTCTAATAAACTTTTCTTCAGAGAACTAGAAGAATACAAAGAGAAACAGGACGACAATCAAAATGGAGGCGATATTGCCAAGATTTCAACAAAAAATGTACGTTCTATGTCTTGGACTATATCAGTTTTCATGCTTTTAAATGAACATAGAAACAATCTCAATTGAATATTCATGAATATATTCGCTGTGGCCTACTTAGGACAAGTATCTAATGGACATGGAGGAGCTCTTCTCTCAAGTGGATGAGAAAAGAAAAGTGAGTATGGAAATAAATGAATCATTACAACTATGAGCATGTAATAATTGTGTTCATTCATTCGGTCGCTTACCATGTCCTCAGCATGCATTGGGCAAGAAGCAAAAAAACCCATCTTGAATAGGTCACCATCATCCATTACAGGTCTAACAAATAGACGCTGATCACATTCACCCACACAAATGCATCTCTGCTAACGGTAAACACCTACATCCCACCACCTTTGATCGTTGACATAGCAACAAGAGAAATAGACATGAGCACATTATAATGCCGCATTTCAGATTTTTTTTTTCTATCATAGGGACATTCTTTTTGCATTGCCCCTGTGTTGTGTATTCAAATGATCTGCTACCATTAGTGGTTGCGATTGCATCTGTGAAAAATAATTCACCTTTACTCCAGACAGACAGTTGTGTACTTTCCCCAGCCTGAGCTGTTTCTATGGTTACCATCACTATTTTTTTGCAAGGGCTTGTGGTGTTTAATTATCCTGGCTATGGATAGTTGCTGCCTGAACTGAAGGAGTTGTCATGTCAGGAGAAAAGACACCGCGCTGACTGACCACAGGGCGATTAGCTTCTTTGTGTTAGGAGGTGTGAAGGTTTACTAAACCCTGACGAAAGAAGTGTGTTATTCACTACCTTCATTTCACAATATCATTAGTGAGCTCATTGATGCTTTCATATCATATTTCCTTGGACTGGGGAAGTGTTTTCAGAGGATAGTGTTGGCAGCTCTTCTGATATTATATCTGTAAGGGAAACTTCTGTGCAGTAATGCAGTGGGAGTCACCGACTCAGGAAAGAGACACGGGAAGAGCAGGAGCTTTGATGTCAAACACTGATGGTTTATTTGGAGCTTCGGCCGGAGAATTCACATCACAAGTCACAGCAGCCTCGATCTGACTGCACGGTAGAGTTGCCACGTCAATTCTGAAGAACTCTACCCCAGACCCGTGTATTTAGCTAGTTCCGAGAGCATCATCAACATGCTGCATAACAAGATAAAATCATAACACTTCTATCAGCTGACGCCAACAGGCAGGAACAGGGAGACAGAACACTGAGAGCACAGCAGCCAAGGTTACGAGGTGCGTGTGCTCAGTCAGGACAGTTTGAACTGATAAACTGGGTCAAAGTTATGGGCCTTGGAAAATATTTCCCCAACAATATCCATATATCTCTTAGCTTTACATCAGTGTGACTCTTGCTGCGTTTTGTCGTCCCTTCAGAAGCGGGAGATCCCAGATTACCTGTGTGGGAAGATCAGCTTTGAGCTGATGAGGGAACCCTGCATCACACCCAGTGGGATCACTTATGATCGCAAGGACATTGAAGAGCACCTACAGGTAAAACCTTCGTCAGCTGCATTATGTTTTAGGGTTTTCTGTCCGTCTGCCGTTACCTCAGAAAACATTTTGATGAGAAGTTCTTTAAATTTGGCAGAAATGTCCACTTAGGCTCCAGAATTAACTGATTTCCTTTTGGTAGTCAAAGCTCAAGGTCACTGTGACCTCACACATCCATGTGCTTATGACAATTTCACACAAATGTCGCTGAGAATAAAACGATGAAGTGATGACACCCTTTCACACTGAAATGGCTGTAAACTGCAACTTGACGGGTTGCTGGAGGCAGACAACCACAAGGCGGTAGTTGAAGTTTATTTTATGACCACTAATTTAGTAATAAGTTCTAAAAGAGACAAATTCAATTTCAAGAGGGAAATTCAGACCACATATTTTCAGAAGTGGCCTCTGTACACATTTGTAAAACATTTTTTTGAAAAAGCACTTTGAGCTACATCTCTTGTCTGAAACGAGCTCTATAAATGTAGATGTGTGACTTGGTCATGCTAAAATGACACTTTTTGTTGTAGATGTGCCTAAAAACGGTCTTATTTGCATGAATTAGCTATATAACCTAGCAGTAGCTAACACTAGCGTATAACCTGCTCTCTGTGCAGCGGGTGGGTCACTTCGACCCGGTCACCAGGAGCCCCCTGACCCAGGACCAGCTGATCCCAAACCTGGCCATGAAGGAGGTGATCGATGCCTTTATCCAGGAGAACGGCTGGGTGGAGGACTACTAAAGGGACCGCCCCCACCACCATCCCCTCCCATCTCTCAATCCATACTCCCCATACTCAACACAAAGCCTGGACAACACCAGACTATAGAAGCCCCCCCCCCCCTGTCTGGATTATGTACTTTTACACAAGCGGGAAACACCACATTATGGACTACCAGATGGGAGCCATGTATCTCGGTCTGCCTCTTACCCCCCCCCACCACATTTGATCTTTGCTGTAAAACTCCCCGCTCATACTTTCTGAGGCTCTGCTGCTCCCTTTAAGACCCCCCCCCCCCCCCCCCCCCCCGATCTCATTCTGCTCTTTCTTTACCTTCTCTCCTCCTTCTCTCCTCCTTCCTCTTCCTTCTCTCCTCCTTCCTCTTCCCTTCTGTCATGCTGTATTTCTCTAGCCTGACTCCCTTCTTTTCTCTCAAAAGGGGCCACACTCTCTGGTCTCTCTCGCTCCCTCTCTCTTTCTCTCTTTCTCTGAGTGCCACAATCCTTGGAAAGCATCAGCATTTGCACTCCAGTGTTTCACACACACCACCAATATTAATGTATTACGTATGGTGGACATTAAGACATAGGCCTTGTATTTGGCGTTTACTTTAGTTTTTCATATACATTGGAGCATTTGCCCACTTCTTAATGTACATTTGTTAAAGTGGGACCTGAAATGCCAAAATCCTTTTCCCCATGAAGGTGTATGCAAGTTTCACATGATGAGAATTGCAAGCTAGTCATGTAGGGAATCAAGTCTCTTCTCCACCTGCAGGTGGCGCTCCAAACATGCCTACTCATTTCTCCATGTAAGACTATTAAGAGGATGGTTAGTTTTTATTCTTAGCATATCAATCACACCCCATTACAGAAAATTTAAATACGTTGAATGTATGCATAATGTACTCTTTAGGTTTAGGCTTGACCTACAGTAATTCAAAGTGTTTTTTATTGGGACAATACAAGGATTTCATGAAAAGCGGCCTTGAACTGGATGCTGAAAACCAACGGAGATGACCGCTGTATACAAAAAAAAAAAGTTTTCACATTGCTGGATATTAATTGAAAATGTTTTGAATATTGATAGATGACATTAGCTGTTGAAAAACCTGCTTCGGAGGATGGTCTGTGCTGTGTGTGTTGTTCATAGAAACAAAAAATTGTGCTTGGACGTTGTGTTTGGCTCGTGCTGTTTGCCTGGAATGACTGTGGACGCTCACATCAAGCATGACGTGATTTTTTATTTTCCTTTGCAAAGGCAAGAGGATAGTTTTCATTGGTCTCACCGTTTTGCTGTTCGTGTTATTTCTCATGGTTGCAACATCTTCTGTAAACCAATCACCAGTGTGGGACAAAGTTGTGTGTTGTTGCAGGGATTTGAGGTTTGCTAGTATCGATGTAACAACGTCCGTGTTTAAAATGCTGGAAGACCTCCGACCATCTTTTCTCATCCTTACCTCAGTCCAAGTTTTTCGGTGCTGGTTTCCTTTCTGTAAAACACATTTTCATTTCATCAGTTTACAGGTTATTTTCCCGCCGAATGTGCGTCCGTGGTGAATCCGGCCTGTCGTCCGTGTTTCATGTCGGGGTGCAGGTAGTGTAAATAATTTGCTTGTGTATCTCAGATTTTATTTCTTGACAAAATAGGGTTTTGTTTTTTTTCTTTTTCTGAGAAATCCTAGAGCTTGAGAAACTGTATTAAATGTAGATATGTTGATAACATAAATGCCTGGTTCAGTTTTCATTTGCCCCCATTAAACCGTGAACTTTGAGTTGTTTTTCTGACTCCTTACATATTCCACCATTTTGCTGCTACATAGAGACAGAGGCCGTTTCTCAATCGCGAGTAAAACTGCTGCAGAGCAACTATTTCAAGTATACTACGCCATCGAGTGGCGCCAAGGAGGACTGTTTAAATGCATGTTAGGTTAAATCCATAGACTGTATAGGTTAAATCGCATTCTGCGCCACTCTATGACGTATACCTGAGATAGTTGCTCTGCAGCATGTGTACTCGCGATTGAGAAACGGAGTATTATTGCAGCTGTTCTACAAAGCAAAACATGATCAGCGACACAAGCCCTGCAATAAATACACATTTGGTGAAGTTAATATTATTTTTGACGTAATCTCTATTTTGAGTATGTCATTTCTTGTAGACACAATGTCCCTTTGTCTGTCTTTGAATCGACTTTTGTGTTGACACAAGCATTTTTCTCTTCTGTTTTTCCTGCCGGCAACTGTCTAGCTCCCTCATACCTATTTATGTTACCTTTTTTCTCTCTGAAACAAACTTTATGATAGATCTTAATGAAAGCATACTTGACATTTATATCAGAGCTGAACTGATTAATCATCCAGGCTGATTTGCAGATATTTCAGTATCAGTCTGATGCTAAATGTCATTGAATAAGTAAAAGAAAGCATTTTTTTTCATGGTCAAAACAGTTTTTATTTCTTATCAGTCAAAAACTTTAAAGGTTACAGAATGTATGTTTATTGGATCTAATTTTGTTAATTTGATATGACATTGAGTTTGACGAATGGTTATATTTAAAGCCAAGCATGCTCAAGAATAAGCCTCTCATGTCCTGGCTGTCAAGTAGATGGGAATTATGTTTTTAACTGACTATTTCTTCAGTAGAAAGGCAGTGAATTGTTAATTGTTATTTTTCAGTTTTTTGATAATCACAAACCAAATGTCAATCCTGTTCATTTCAGTTGGCAATCATCCCAGACAGATCTCAAAACACTGTCATTTAAAAGTAAAAAAGTATCTGCATAGTTGAAACGACTAACAAAAAAGAGACACATATGTCATGACCCTTTTAAGAACGACTACAACGCCTGCAGAAATGTCTGCCACAGATCCTCTATAAAACATTGTTCTCGGTGTGTGAGAACAATGTACGTCTACCATGTGATGTGGACACAAACACATGTGAGGGTGTGTGTTTCAGTCACATGTAGACGGACACACACCAGGCCTATTGTCAGAGTATCTGTCTGATGCTGATGTCACGGCCCGTGTCAGGAGGGAAGAGGACAGAGCATTTCAGAGTGGACTGAGTTAGCAACATCGAGACAACACAACAACATCAAGATGGTGAGAAAAGCGGTTTCCTTTTCATATAATTTGGTCTCTGGTGTGACGTTTGTGTTCAGGGATAATGTGTTTTGTTTTGTTTCTTTTTTAAGATGGTCAACACTGTGAGGTTTGCTCTGGTTGTTGTGGGTGTCTTTGGATGGTCTATGATGCTCCCCTCTGCCACCCAAGGTATGAAATTAACAGGATGTCATTAAAAAAACAAAAGTAATTTAACTTCACCTCTAGATGTATGCCACAGCCAGGCTCTGGGGACTAACGGCATACTTGTAACACGATTTTGTACTTAGAATACAAACATTTTTTAACTGTATTCCCTAACACTAATCAGATTACTGGTACACACACACATGTGGATTACTAGCAGAATCAAAATGTTACAAAACATGTAAAATAAAGAACCATATATTAAGAAGCATAGACATTGAAACACTTGTTCTTTTTTCTTTACATAATGCACTTAAGTTAAAGCCGTCTTATTGACATTTATTTTCTCAGATTTTTTCGAATTCCATTTGATATTGAGTTTATCCAAAAGAACAGAAATTAATCAGGTTACTTTACTTTTAACTTGTTATACTTAAAGTCAGTGATAAACATTTTTTACAAGTAACTAGTACTTTTCTAATTTATTTTTTATTTATTTATTATCAAGCTTTGTCCATAAATGTACTTTGCTCAATAAACAAAATTAATTCCATTACTGGAGATATAAAACAAAGAAGCTTTAAAACTGAAACCATTTGTTTTAAGGGAATAAAAAGAAAGAAAGAAAATAATAATAATTATAAGAAGGACTACATTAAAAAATGAACATATTTACATTTTGATAATAGTTGATTGCAAAACTGATTTATAAAGGGGGCCCTGGCTTCATAACAAAGTAAAAAATAACTCTATATGAAGAGCCGAGCAGTGAGATAAACGTAATATTTATAAGCCTAATCGTACTGGAATACATTTTTATAGTAACCCTCCCACCCTGACCATATCTCTCTCTGTGTCTCACTGACTGTATCTTCCCTGTTTGTGTTGCCAGTGGGTCTGAGCGACAAAGTCCTGGTGTTCCCTTACGAGACTGACTTCAGCTTCGTGTCCCTGATCCCTCAGAAGGAGATGGGGCTGAGGGCCTTCACGCTCTGCATGCGGGTGGCCACGGAGCTGCCTGAGGACCGTCAGATCATCCTGTTCGCCTACCGCACCGCCGACTACGACGAGCTGAACTTGTGGCGTGAGAGCGACGGGCGCGTCTCCTTCTATATGAGCGGCGACGGCATCTTCTTCCACCTGCCGCCCATCACCACCTTCCGCACCAGCCTCTGCCTCACCTGGGACTCTCGCACCGGCCTCTCTGCCTTCTGGGTGGATGGGAAACGCAGCACCTACCAGGTCTACAAACCCGGGCACAGCATCCGTCCCAAAGGCTCCATCCTCCTGGGGCAGGATCCAGACAAACACCTGGGGGGTCTGGAGGCCGGGCAGAGCTTCGTTGGCGAGATGGCGGATCTGAACATGTGGGACTTTGTGCTCTCCAGGAGCATGATCCAGGCCTGGCACTACGGACACAGGGTGCCCAAGGGAAACGTCTTCGACTGGGGCACCATGGAGTACGAGCTGAACGGGAACGTGATGGTGGTGGATGATGACTGACTGGACGTGGAGTCGGGGGCAGAGAGGAAACGGGCTTTAGAGATCTGTGTTGGACTGATACTGATGTGTGGTTTTCTTTCTTAGATTCAGTACTGTTTCATGTTAGAGCCCTTTAACTGAGCTTCCAAAACCACACCAACTCTCAGTTTAATTTGACATTAAGGAACTGTTGATCATTAATGGATTATTTGAAAGGCATATCCTACAAAAGATCAGGAGCCCGAAGTGTCCTCAAAAATAACCGCGAAGATACATAACAACCACAGAGAGACTGTTTAAACCGCTGCAAAGAGACACAAGGGACGCCCCTAAAGGGCAAAACAAACCACCCTGTAAAAAAGAGACACAAATAAAACAACAACAGCAAAACAACTACAAACAGATGTAAAATGACTAAACACAGTGACAAAAAAACTGCATAGAACCAAACACGGATGCAAAAAACAGTACAAAGGGTCACAAGATGACCGCAAAGTGCACAGCCACAGACAACTATAACTCCTGTGTGTCTGGCTCCTATGTCGGAGAGGTGTTGGGGCCTTTTTCATGTCTGTGCCCAGGGGCCAATTCGTTCATCCCCCTCCCATGTGCTTGATGACTTGTTAAGAACGTAGAAAGGACTAGTGTTTCAGTATATTGACTGAGAAACCTCCTATGCAGTAATCTGTAATTATTTTAGACAACAAAATGCACTAGCCAAAAACAAAAAAAATTATTTGTGGTGAATTAAAGCATTTTTATCAAAATGTACATCAGAGGGCTTTTTCCAAACGGTACCTCAGTTTAAGATCCTTGTTTCAATAATTAGCATTTAATTTGTTTAGTCTTCTTTGTGTCTCCAAGCTTCATCCTTTGAAAGACCAACCTCTAAATATGGAGCTTTAAATGTTGACGTGCCGGTTGCATCCATAGGGTGGCACTCTGCACTAGTTCACATCAAACAGAAACGTGTGTCAAGTGAAGGGTTATCATGCATCTGCTAATGTGATATAGTTATGAACCGAAGTCCACCAATAACTGATTTGCTGCTATAATGTATTCAAAACTATTTTTCCAAAAACCTTAATGCGTTTTTAATGGAAAACTATAATGCCAAAAATACAAGTTCAATTCAAATAAAATCTTTTTTAGTCAAAATTGCAAATACAGTAATTAATTAAATTAAATCCCCAAACCGTCATGCATTCAGATAGTACAATTTAGTTTGTCCAATGATATTGATGAAAATAGGAAGTGGGTATTAAAACACTGTGAGATGTGTTATTTCTTAATGATTTACTGCACTCAGAGTGCACTCAAATAGCAATTATCATGTTTAATATCCACCGCCGTAATGTTCCCTCCGGTTAGCGTATACTCACTCATGAATTTCACATGTTTCCACTGATGTAAGAACGCTTTTGGGTCTGAAATAAAACCTTTCCATGTGCATAACTAATAATGTTTGTAATTAAAAGGGAATATTTCGTCTTTGAACTCTTTCAACTTCCTTTTCCTAATAATCTGTTTTTGGGACACCTTTTAAAGGAATACTGTAATAGCTTGTTTACATAATTTGGACTTAATAAGGGACTTTTTATTTATTTAGGAAATTAAAGAAAAAACCTTTTCACTTATTCAGCTGGAGGAGAAAGGGACACCAAACTTCCAAGATAGAGAAACACCCAGTTTTCAATCAATCAATATTTACTGAGAAAGAATAAATTAAGTTTGACTTATCGGACAGTTTTCTAGTAATCATACTGACATGTTCATTGATTTTGAAATACTTGTGCTCCATTGATAACATTTCAATTTCTAGAAGACAAAGCTTCTACCCCCCTTGTTTCTATAGTATTTTCTCATGTCTCCAGTGTTAAACAGCAAAAATAAGGCGGACGGTTACATGTAACTTGCAGAAATCAAATCATATGAAGCTGCTTCACTAACAAACACCCTGAGAATAACCTCAAGGGCAGATCTTCTCCATCCAAGTGTAACACAGTAACCCTAAGTTCCAGTTTGCTGCTCCGCTCTTCTTCCTCCTCCTCCTCCTCCTGCACAACCACCATGACCTCCTTGCAGAGATGAGGAAGAAGTTTCCAGCATGCATGCAGGCTCCCTTGAGGGTGGGAAAGTGCTGCGTTTCCTGTGTGTGTGTGTGTGTGTGTGTGTGTGTGTGTGTGTGTGTGTGTGTGTGTGTTTATTCTGACCGAATCACCCGTCGGCTCTCTCGCAGCAGCTAAATAAGGAGAAGGCAGGGCCAACGAGTTCTGACTGCGGGTCAGCAGCCAAATGTTCCACCTTCTTGGATGTTGCAATGCATCAATCGCGGTGCCCACTCACTGTGTGGTAACACCTTCGTGGACCATCTGCCCATGCCTGGCTTCTCAGCCCTCTGGTACGCACACACACACACACACGGTCAACACAAGGTCTGTTATTCCCCTATTTTTGCATCTGCCCAAGAGGGGTAATAATTCCTCATACCCACACATATGCAAAAATTCCCACTAATTACCTTAATTAAAATATTTGTTTTGTTTTAGTAACTTTATATTAAAACATCTCAATCTAATCTTCAAATGTCTTGCACTGATCACGAGACCTGCAAAAAAAATTGCAAATTGTCTTTTAGCAGCACAAGCTTTTTATTTAAACGTTGGGGCCACACACTCCACAGTTTCTGCACTAGAGGAGAACACACACACACACACTGTTACTTCCTTTTTTTTGCTTCCCTTAAACACAGACACTTTATTGTTACTGTCATTTCAATTATAAGACATCTTAATGTCCTGATAACAATGTGCTTCCCCTTAAACAAATCATTTTGTGTCATAGCTTTTGTTTGTTTTGTTACCAACTCAACCTTTTTATTTCATGTTAGTATTTAGGGGCCACACACTGCTGTTTTCTGCACCAAAGCAATACTCATCGTGTGTAACAGAAGGACACAATAAGTGGCCGTGCGTCTCCACAGACTGGATAATTAATCCCTCTGTGTCTCTCCATGTATTATCCAGCTAAGCAAACAGTTGCAGGGCTGCTTGTCCTGCTCGCGGACAGTGTGTGCCTGTGAGATCTGCATATTGGCCCATGGTGGTTTAGGCTGTCTGAGGCGAGGCGGTGCTACTGACTGTATGTCCATGCGTGTGGAGCTGGTGAAAATGTTTCCACACGAGAGGAGATAGACGGCGAGAGGGAGCCCCTCGTGAGGCGGCGAGGGGAGACAGAAGGAGGGCCGTTCTGGATTCCTTCGAGCAACTCCAAATAGATTTCCAGGCAAAACATATTTGCATACGCAAGACAGTGCTACGAGCTATCTGTGAGCTGTGGCATGTGTGCATTGAACAGATGGATAATTTTTTTAGAGCTTTCTTGCATAAATATTCAGCCCATAAAATTAAGATCTTTTTCACGAAGCTCACAAAGACTCATCAGGGTCAAGTTGCTCTTGTTTGTCAGATTTAGTGCTTGATTGATAAAAGAAGATGATGTACACGTGACAAAAGATCATGTTTTAAACATCAATTCCTGGGAAATAATGTTGTTACAATGCCAGTATTTGCATTCAGAGATTTTTTTTGTTAAGCAAGACATTAATGTAAAAATGTCCCCTTAAAACTCCCCATAAAAGTCAAGCTGTCAAATTGATTGAACGTTTGCTGGATGTTTTGTGCTCTCTTATGATGATCTTTGATCTGCTATGGGCACAAAAGGGATCAAAAGGGCTATCCCTGTTCAATTATATCTCGTATTGTTTAGCTGTAGCTTGTTTTTGTCCCCAAAAAACAATTGTATGGCAAATTGCACGACAACCATGTGATTCCAAAATCTTGGGCAGGGCCTAGGAAGCCAGATCTGGGGTGGGGGGGTGCCGCGCTGGTAGCTCTGGGAGGGGAAACAAATATTTTTGACTTTTTGCGCTCATCCTAATTTTCATGTATCAACATTCATAATTAAGTAAAGGTAACACCCTTTTCACCTCGGTTACACGTTTCATTTACCCTGTACGATGGGCGCTGTAAATGATGAAAGTGGGGGATGTTGGCTTATCAGGCGCCCACAGCTCACAGCCAAAGTGTGAGCATGGGAGCGAGAGAGAGAGGGCGCACCGGTACCGACTATTGTTGTTGTTAGCATCTGGTGCTAGCTGCGCTAACGGATATAAGAAGATGTTTCTACAAGAAGGTAGAGGGAGAGCTCTCTCCTGTCAGACTGGGAGGCTGATAACTACAGCTCAGTGAGGACTCTGAGTGTTTCAATAGTTAACTTTAGTCTAAGTTATCTCAGTGGGTCTCCAATGTTTTGATCACAATTTATGTAAACAAATATTTCCAAGGCACCCCTTTATAATTATTAGGATAAATAAAAACTAGGGCTGTCAAGTTAACCCGTTAATAATACAAATTAACGCCACTAATTATTTTAAAGTTTATTTTTTGTCCTCGGCCGCCCCATAGTTTCAGAGCACATCGAGTTTAAAATACCATCTACAAGCTGATGCTGACAGCCCCGCTCCTGCCGTCCGCTTGCGGCAGACCACACTTCCACGCTCACCGGCAGGACCTGACTGGCCATCGGGAGGACCGGGAGGGTGTGTGTATGTGTGGCGCGAGCGAGCGAGCGAGAGAACGTGCACACCTTACGTGTATTGTTGTTGTTAGCATCTGGTGCTAGCTAGCTGCGGCGCTAACGGATATATAAGGAGCTGTTTCAATGAAAACAGAGGAGCGACATTTCGCCGACAACTGCGCCGAGCACTTGACTGTACAGACACAGACAGTGGGACATTGTACGAAAAGTCAGCACACTCAGCACGGATAGTGCGCGCAACATGATTGCAGCGTCCAGGCAGCTCCTGTTCGAGCGTATGCCTGAGTTGTACATAGCTCCAACGATCCATCACAGTGGCCGTTTCTCAATCGCGAGGATTTTGGCTTCCAAGCCAATATTTCAAGGATGCTACGTCATCGAGTGCTGCCGAAGGACTGTTCCAATCTCCAGCATACTTGGTATTCCACCGAGGAAATTTCGAGGCTGCACATGGGTAGACTGAGGCCGTTTCTCAATCGCGAGGATGCTGGCTTGGTAGTCGCGTACTTCCAAGTCACTTCCTTCAGAAAGTATACTTCCAAGCCACGGCTACGGAAAACGAAGAAGAATGGAACAGGCTAACAAGTGTGCCACTCTCTCTAGCGGTTTCAACATAAACTGTACCAAAAATAAATACCTCACGATGTCTATCTAATTATGAACTTGCTTTACTTTCATGGAACACATTTTTCGTGATAACAAACAAATGTAACAAAGTAACATATTTACCAATACATGTTCTATGCCACTACATACTTACATTTAAATGTGTGCTGCGTCGGTTCAGCCATTCTCCTCAAGGGTTTTTGAAATTGGTCCGTGCGCAAAGCATTGTGGGGATTTTAAGGAAGCGAAGTCTACCCATGTACAGCCTCGAAATTTCCCCCAAACCAAGGACGCGGCCTCTGCGGAATTCCAAGTATGCTGGAGATTGGAACAGTCCTTCTGCGGCACTCGATGACGTAGCATCCTTGAAATATTGGCTTGGAAGCCAAAATCCTCGCGATTGAGAAACGGCCTGATATTTTTCCGAAATAAGGTCCCATGGACCAGAAGTAGATGGGCGTGACTTCCCTCCCCTTCCGGTGGGACTCATGGGACCTTATTTCGGAAAATGTTTGTATTGGAGTCAATGATGGAGAGAGAAAGATTATCTTTCGATCCCGTTTGAATTGTGCCATGAATTACACATATGATGTTTGTCAATCTTAAAAAATAATTTCCATGTCAAAAAAGTCACAGTTTGTCGTAAAACTGTTGAAATATAAGACTATAAAAAATACGCAACTAGAAAGACTACAAATCCCAGTCGCGTAAGTGATGTCACAATTGTTTTCCTCCATTAAGAGATAGATTATATCTATATGGCGCTGATCTTAGCTATCTATATGGCGCTGGCTAAGATAAGATAACTTTAACAAGATGCCTGTGTGCTTAGTACCAGGTTGTTATCATACCAGCAATGGGTCTTGCTCATTCTTTCGTTTCCCGTCTGATGAAAGGACCAGGAGTGGCTGGATCAAGTTAGCTACCTAGCTAGTAGCTAGCACGTTAGTTAGCATTACAGCCATGTCATTTTTATTAGCCTTAATATGAAGTAACATTAAGCAGTGGCGAGCCGTCAGGGCCCTCTAGGCCCTCTGTGAGGGCCTAAGATATTAAAAATATATATATTTGAAAACATTAAAAAAAAAAAATATTTTGTTGTTGTTGTTGTTACATTTTTCATTAGTTTACCAAAATAATTTGATTTAATTGTATTTAAAATAATATTTCCAAAGAAATAAATCCTTCGAATCTGCCTGTTCAGTTTCTGTTGGAATGTGAAGGGTTAAATGCCGTCTCTGCGAGTTATGTGAAGACGGGAGAGCTTGTTGGTCCCTCTGTACATTCACAGA